CAAAGTGTGTATGATTTTATGATGTTTATGATGTTATTGTGTTTCATAAGTTGTCTTTCATGAATCTCACCGAAGTAAGTGGATAGTAAAGGTTTTTATTATTGATAAATGAGTTTGCTATAAATTATGCTCAATTGGTCATTTTTGTTTTCTACCAACATTTACTCTCGTGCCAGTGAGATAGTGTGATGTCTTTACTAGGGTAGTGTAGCTCATTCCTTACTTAACCATTTCAGATCAGGAGGATTTGGTTCCCGAGCCCGTCTCGCAGGAAGACGGCGAGTAGACACCTAAGCATTTCATAGTTTTATTTATAGCATTCATTACTAGTATTTACCTTAGTTAGTTATTTCTTTCACACGTTGAATACGTTTTTGGTTATTGTGTAAGGGATGTTAATCAGAATATTTATTTCGCTTCCGCACTTAAAATTTTTAATACATACATTTTCTTTTAAATTTCCAGGGCCGTTACATCTTAGGGTTGGACAACTTTAATGACTAACAAATGGTCATGCATAAAATTGATGGAATATATATATATATATATATATATCATAGAAATAATAGAGAATCCATAAAATAAAAAAGCACCATTATAGCTTAAAAGTGGTAATCTTGATTTTCATCTTCAACCGTAAAAAAATTAAGTTTCAGTTATTAAGTGTATGAATTCCGTATTGACCATTTAGAGCCTTTTGTGCATATATTTTTTTTCCAACAGCTGCTTGACCCCCTCTTTATCGAACAACTTATGTCCTTTTATTATGGTCATGCACATTAACGAAGAAAAGACGGAGAACTTGATTGCCATTTGATTGCTATTATTTTTACATACACACACTTTTAATGTTTATTAATTATCTAAATCAATATATATAGTTCAACATAGTAGAAAATGACATTGATAATCAAAATTCCGTCTTCGGTTTTTAATGTTTTCAAAATAAATATTATAATTTTCTTTTTCAAAGATTATGTTTTAGATACTAGCACATTTTGTTGTTGTATTTTAGATTTATAAGTCATGTTATACTACGTATAAGTTGTATACAAATATATACATAAACAAAAATCTACCAAAGGATATGCACATAAAAATTGAATAACTTCGTAAGTGTATCTAACATTATTCAAATTAAGTAGCACTTGAAATAAAATATAATGCTGAATTTTAGATGAACTTTTTAAAGACTAACAGAAAAGGATTATACAATTCTAAGAATAAAATGAAAACAGAAAAATAAAATAAATGAACATATTAATAGAGGAATTAAAAAAGTTACTTCAATAATAAAAAAATAGAAATATTGGATTAGAATGGAGATATAAACTTGGTCATTTAAAAAAAAAAAAAAGAATATTATCTCCACACACTATGTACACATTATAAATCTTTTGAAAAGTACTATCTAAGATTGTTTTATTTTCTTCAATAATTCACAAGCACTAATTGTAGAATCAGAGCAACATTATTTAGATGACTAAATTTAGAGTCACATATTTAGTGGTATCATGAAACAATTGAAAGTTTTAAATTTTGAAATATAACCTTCAAACAAATAACATCACGTGTTCTTCTAGTAAAAACAAAAATATTTATAATAACGACTATAGAACTCAACCAAACCATCTCTTGCTGAAATTCATCTTTCACCAAAAGAAATAAAAATAATTTGAATTAGCAAATATAACTACAATATATGTAAGAGTACTCATTGACCAAATTTTCTTCATTAAACCACCATATAAAGAATCTATATAATTTACTAATAAATTATCTTCAATTTATTCATTTTTCTATTTACATCATATTGACTGCTTGAGGTAAAAATGACGCATTAATTATTTTTTAAGTGTGCGATTGTGAGAATTTATATACTATTATTTACTTGTGAACTTATAATTATTTAAAACAAACTAAAGTATAGTTGTAACATCCCAAATGTTAATTAAGGCAAATAGGTGTCATATACAGATTCAAAATAACGAGTGCATGATAAAATTTATGCAACATAATCAAATCATAACAAATTCCTTACAAATATATATAATGCTCCAAATACATACATAAACTGACGCCAGAAGTTACTATAAAATACAAAATATAAGGATCACTTCTTTTACTATGCTATTGGATTCATCAGAGTACGAAAACAGTCATGCACTCAGACTTGTGGATCCACAGGATCTTCATAGACTTCCAAGGGTAAGTCTGTCTGTGGTTCTTCATTTTCTTCCTCATCTAAGAAAGAAGGGGGTATGGAAAGAGTGAGTTTCATATGCTCAGTAAGAAAAACAGTATTAAATTAACATTGTAAGATTTCAAAAATTTATTATTTTATCTTACCGTTTAACTTCCTCGTTTACCTATCTCACAATTATGAAAATAATTTATTTGTTAAGAAAAGGATACGTTAGTACAAAAAATCAAATATACATCATGTTAGATAATAGAGAAAATTAAATAAATCATGAAATGCACATATTTTTTTTGTCTTACTTCGCAAAGTCGTTACAAACTTTCATCTCTGAGAGCAGATACAGATTTCTAACTACCCATGTGTGATGATCATATTAGATACAGATACGACAATTTGCTTAGACCCATTTCCGGCTGGCCAAACTATGATACGATATATGATCACGACTGTACCAACCATAGTGATCCTAACAAATATCTATACTTGCGATATCACTTAGCCACGGGTAACTCTTACAGATAGTGTGATACCATTCTCGTTAGAGGGTACACCGTCATCTACTGGAAGCGTTCCTTTTACATCTTTCTATACCAGATAGGGGAAGGAGAAACATATACCCCGAAGGTAAAAGGGAACAGATATTCCTCAAAGATAAAAAAACCTAACGAGACACTTGATACAATATGCATGTTAATACAGATATACTTCGAACTATACATGCTTCATTCAACTTTTTTTTTTCTTTTCTTTTATACTTTTTACCATTACTGATTACATATTATATTTATTACATACAAATTCATCAAGTGTCTGCAATTTACTTATCATACTTGAAAATCAGAACAATTCGACTCATCTGAACATAAAGTCATACAAAACAGGCAAAATAAAAATCATATTAAATTTATTTATCTAAAAATACTCCTTAAGATGTCGAAAATAATACTAGATTTCTTACCAATCCTTTCTTTCTCTTCTTCTCTAACTAATCCACTATCTCTCTCTCTCTAAACTTTTGAAAAATAAAAGAAATGGAAGTATAGAGAGGAAGGCAAGGGTAGGACAATTTATAGAATTTCAGAACCGTTGGATTCACGACAAGTGGCAAAATTCGGTGAAGAAAGAAGAGAAAAAGATGCTCGGCACGAAAAATGAGAGAGGAGGACCTCCTCCACTAGCAGTGGCGTGCCGCCCAAAGCAGCGGTGGTACACTATGGGTTAGCCTGCAAGTGCACAGGCCTACTACCGTGCGTGCATGCCCCAAGCGCACAGGGCCTATCTGCGCAGGCCTGCTGTGCTCGCGAATGGCCCACCTGTGCATAATAGGACACACGCGTAGGTCCTGAACTTGCGCCGTGCGCGCGGAGGAGACGTGTGCATTGTGTGCACGTCTTGTGCGTGCTGGCGTGAGGATGGGACGTACGCACTATGTGCACGTCCCCCGACATAATTTTTTTCGTTTTGCTGTTTTTTTATTTTTTTTAAATTTTCTTTTAATTTAAAATAATTTAAGATACATAAAAAAATAAAATAAGATATAAATAAAAATAAATTAAAATCACAAATTATAAGAAATGTTAAATAACGTAAATTAATTAAGTTTAAAGCGGTCAAATGTCTGAATAAATAGAATTTTCAAATCATTTTAGTACAGTGATTAGCGGGATGTTACAATAGCTCTAATAGTAATTGATCAAGCCAATTATGTTATCTAAATAAGACACATAAATACCTTATAATATGAAAAGGCATGAATCAGTAACTTAATGTAAATTCTATGCCATGTCTTAATTTTGACGAAAGTTTAATTTATGAAAAATAAAAGTACAAGGGACAAAGACACCTAAAGAAAAAGTTATTAATTTTCACGTAATATTTGTTTAATTCTTTTTTAAAAAAATATGCAGACTTAATAATGCAAAAAAAAAAAAAATGAAAAAAATGAAAAACGAAAAGAAAAGGAAAGGCAAAATAGAAATTAGGATTGTGTTTCAGCGGAAAGATTTTCCTTTTTTAACGGGGTAGGCCCACTTTCTTCGACCCAACCAACCCAGAAGAGCCCCTTCAAAAAGCCTTTCCGAACCGTTGTCGTTTGGGTCTACTTCGTTTCTCTCTACTCTTTTTTTGGGGAAAGGCTTAGGGCAGGCGAGTCAAATGGCTCTGACGCGATCGTTTTGAGGTAAAGGAAAATGATGAAGACAACTCAGAGCAAAAGAAGGAAACTCTGAGAGGAAGCTGCTCAGGCACGACGACGACGACGACGACTGATGGATGGTGATGAAGACAGAGAAAGAAGGAGGTGCAAAGTAGGGTACTGTATAACACCCTCATTTTAACTTTGACTTGTTTTCTTGATTTATTTCCTTTTTTTGAGAATAATTTTCTCCCCCTTTAACAAATCAAGTTATTACACCAATTGTAACTGTCACTTTTCGTCATGAAAATTTTATATATATAAAACTCTAATATCTGCTGGAAGACGCGGTGGTTGCAGGCTACAGTTTTTGCGGATGAGCCGACAGAGATTAGGGTAGTTTGGGAGGAGGAGGAAGAAGAACAAGTTGTTGAAGATGATGAGCTTTGATATTTACGGAAATTTATTATTATTATTTTCATTCAGACCGATTAACAAAAGGTACCTGACTCATACATGTTAATTAGTAATCATAACAAGAGATTAACTTAAAAATTAATTAAAAACTAAATAATATAACATTAAATCTATACTTCAACCGAATTATTATATAATTTTATAGAAAATAGTTGAAACTAAAATTAAGAATTAGTATTTATCTAATTGAGATTCGAAATGTTATATACAATTAGAAATTAAAAAAAACTAAAAAACTAAAAAACTATACTTATTTCAAATAAGTAAAATTTAGAAAGCATTTGTCATGTATTTTTATACAATTATAGTTTGTCTTATATACATAATCCGTACAGAGAAAGCCGCACGCCAACTGCACTCCAGATATTTACATTAATTTACAGAAAGAAATTAAATGACTGAAATTTGCGGTGATCCATCAGAATCCTTTTATCACAGGCGGTTGATTTAGAAATGCCCACTTGCTGCTCCTCCACCTGCGCACAATTTTTTAAAATACAGAAATTACTAATTAATTATAATTAATTAAGCAAATTTCCAATTGACGATACCATGCATTCCTTTTCTGCAAGTTTGCTTCTCCATCTGAGTCTTTATAACCTTCTATACTCTTCTTTACTGGTACCGAGTTTGATCTCTGCAAATTCAAACCTTCATGCTCCGTCTGCCGTTAACAAAGTAATTATCATAATTGCTTCACCTCATCCAAATGAAATCATATTGTAGTTATATATATATATACATATATATACCTGCAGAGAGACGGCCTTGAGATGTTCTTTCTCCGCCTTTTTCTTGGACAACCAGAAAGCTTTGATCTCTTCTTTGGTACATGATTGATTCCTTTTGTATCTCACTAACAAATAAATAATTATAATTAGAACCACTAAATTAACAACTAAAATACTAATTAATCTTTAAATACATACCTGACTTGGAATCAACTACAGGAGAATCCCAACCTGCCATTAGAGAACCCATTTTCCTCACACTTGGACTGAATTGTGTATGATGCACACTCTCTCTTTCTTTCTGTATATATAGTAGAGACAGATGACGATCTAATATTTTGTTTTGTCTTGTGGGGACGTTAATCTTTAAAGTTTCGATGATCCTTATCCTAAGTCGATATGTTTGACGATGGCAATCCTTTAGACTTTTGTGACGTTGTCAATCATAAATATCTTATACTAAAATACATATATATGAATTGAATACCGCCAAGCAGCAGCTCACAGATTTCCATGCAAAGGTGGTATTGTAGGCTATAAGCAAATTATTAAAATATTAAATACATTTTTTTATTCCAAAGATCAAAATAATTATTAATGAGTAAGATATCTGATTGACGTGACACGTGTCTATCAACTTTCTTTTATGTCGATGTACAGTATCAAGCCCAAAATATCTACTACAGTAACAAAGAAATATTGAGTTTTATTAATGAAGATTTTCTGAATTAATTAAATTTATGGATTAAAATTCATTACATATTGTCATTCAATTAATATATATATATATATATGATACGAGTTATAGCATAAGAATTTACATAACGTATAAGACATTCTTTCTAAATCTGAATAAAAAAAATTATAATATGAGTCATATTAATAATTTTTTCTTAATTCATAAAAAAATACCTACAAACCATCACTCACTTGTTAGCCTTACCAATCCTCACCTATTTTCATTTCTATATTTAAGGTTTATTCGAACATTTATATTCATAAAAAAAAAAAAATTAAGTTAGTATTATCATTTACAATTATAATTACAAAGAAGACTTCATATCCTTTTTATATCATTTACAATTATAATTCCTACTTCACAATTAATGATTCTTGTTGTCTATTTATGTAAAGAAATATGAGACAAATAATTAAGGAAATATCATTAGTAGTGTGCTAATACCTGCATCTGCAACATTCATTTCACAAGTCACAGCCAGACTTCACTTACACAATAATCATAGCAAATGATAATTTGTTGTAATAAATTTTGTCATTTACTAACAACTGTAAATCATTCATTTGAACATATTTGAAGTTCTAATTCATTGTAAAGCTCTATAAATTAAATTTCTCTCATATCAGTAAATTATGTTGAGAATTGTCCAGCATATTCCTCTCATTTTTCTTTCTTGGTATCAGATCCAGACGTTGCTGGTGATAACAATGTGGGATTTGTTGTTACTGGTAGCAAAAGTAATGAAGGAAACACCTCAAACAATATTACAATTATCAAGACCCTGAATATGTCAAGAAGTCCAATGGGCTCATATTCCATGATTAAGTTGAACCACGATAATTTTCTCATGTGGAAGAACATGGTGCTGTTTGTGATAAGAGGTAATAAACTAGAAGGCTATATAACCGATGCCAAAATCTGTCCACCAAAGTTCACAGACGTAGCTATGTAGGGAATTGAAGATAGTAAGGTCAAAACTAACCCAGATTCTAAAAAATGGCATGTTCAAGACCAAATGCTCTTAAGTTAGATATATAACACTATTGAATGTTAAATTTAATGATTTTTTATCTGCTTAAGTTTCAAATTTAAATTCAAATCAACCGTGAAATTGTTTCACGATTGGATACGTAAACACCATGCAACGTGTATGCATGGATTTCAGTTTTTTTGATCTTATCACTTGGTTGATGTAATTTGTTTCTATCATTTTTTGCATTTTTATATATACAAGAATGAAATAAGAAGAAATATAGTTTTCTTCTCCAAAAAAATACAATCCATCTGAAAACAACAAAACAGAGGATATCGCATAAGCTTGCTTTGTTTTGTTGTCTCTCTCTCTCATCAACTTTCTCTCTCTAAATTCGCTCATCCATAGAGCTTCCTTTGACGCTCATTTACTTACAATCAACAACTGGTATCAGAGCCAGGTTATTAAGGGACCAGAAAATTAACATACCCTCAAAGAACCCGATGATATCCACTGGAACCTCACCTCCCCCACACTTCAGCAGAGAAAATTACAATATATGGGCAATCAAAATGAGAGCCCATCTGAAAGCCTTAAGTCTGTGGGATGTAATTATGGATGACAGTGATCCCCCTCCACTATAGGACACTCCCACTCTAAACCAAATCAGAAGGCACGAGGAAGACAAGGCCAAGAAACCAAAGGCTATTGCTTGCCTTTTCTCGGCTGTCTCGGATAGGGTATTTTCAAGGATTATGAACTTCGAATCACCAAAGGCTGCTTGGGAGAAACTAAACGAAGAGTTCGATGGGAGAGTCAGAAGCAGGAAGTTGAAAATCTTGAGATTGAAGAATGAGTTTGCATTACTCAGAATGCAAGAAAATGAAACAGTGAAGGACTATGCCTCCAAACTCTCGGATGTGGTAAATAAAATGAGGCTGCAATCAAGGGTAGTAGAGCAGATTCTTATCAGCTTGCCCCCTAAATTCAAGTCTAAAATCTCAGCCTTGGAGGAGCTTTCCGACATTGAATCTATCTCCTCGGCTGAGCTAATAAACAAGCTTCAATCCAGTGAACAGCAGGTAAATATGCATGTTCGATAACACACCGAGGGAGCCTTAATTTCAACACAGATCAAAGGAAACTCTTCAACACAGAATCAAGAGAGAAGGAGTGAAGGGAATCTAACTGGAAATCAAAATTCCAGTAAGCAAAAGAAATATCCTCAGTGCAGCATTTGTTCCTTGATAAATCACCTTGAAAATAAGTGCTAGTCCAAGGAAAAGAAAACTGTTCGGTGCAACTTCTGCAAAAGGCTTGATCATAAGGAGAAATTCTGTAGACAGAAACAGAAATTGGAAGGATCGCAGCCAAAGCAGGAACTACAGCAAGCCAATGTCACCGGGGTGTCCAGTGAGTAACGCGCTACAATTCTCGTTGCTTCAAGTGATCAATCAGTGGAGGATGATACCCTCTGGGTGTGGATAGTGGGTGCACCTCCCACATATGCAAAGATGAGCCCTGTTCATGTCACTTGACAAAACAGTCACAAGCAAGTACGGCTTGAAAATGGTATGTTGGAAACCATCACGGTAAATGTTACATAGCCATTGAAACCAGAGAAGTTAGGAAGCTTATCATTGATGTGAATTTTGTTCCTACCCTCTCACAGAATCTCTTGAGTGTGAATCAGATGACTGATCGAGGCTACTCAGTTGCATTCAAGGATAATTGCTGCAGGATATATGATCCTGAGAATAGATTGAATGCCTTTATCCACAAAAAGGATCAAGCCTACTCCTTGAAATTCAGAGAAGTAGTCGAGAAGGCCAGTGTTGCCACTGTTACAGAAAGTGAGATATGACACAGCCGTCTTGGGCATTTTCATGCGGCAGAGCTACAACAAATGCAGAAGGGATGTCTAACCAAGGACTTCCCAAACATTACAATCACTGAGTCAGTATGTGGTGCCTGCCAGATGGGGAAGAGGCAAGGAATTCTTTCCCTTCGTAAATAGATTGGAGAATAGAAGAGAGGCTAGGACTCATACACTCCGACATCTGTTGTCCGATGATAGAAAAATCCATGGCGGATGCAGGTATTTTTGCTTGTTCATAGATGAGTTTTCAAGGATGATTTGGGTTTGTTTTCTGCAGAATAAAGCTCAAATCTTCGTTGAATTCAAGAAGTTTAAAACTATGGCAGAGAAGGAAAGTGGTTGTGTGCTGAAGTGCCAAAAGACAGATAATGGCCTTGAATTCAATTCCAGAGAATTCAAGGACTTTTGTTCTGAGAATGGAATCAAAAGGGTGCCCCACCATATTCACCCTAACAGAATGATGTCTCAGAGAGGAAGAACAGAACTATTGTGGATATGGCAAGAAGAATGCTTGCTCATAAGCACTTACCTAAAGCTTTATGGGCTGAGGCAGTAAACACTGCCGTGTTCCTGCTTAACATGCTGCCTACAAAGGCTGTGAAGGAGATGACACCTGCGGAGGCCTGGAGCGGCATCAAACCATCGACTAAGTACCTAAAGGTGTTTGGCTCCGTCTGCTACTACAATATCTCGGATAACAGGAGATCAAAGTTAGAAGAGAAGGGTGAAATGAGAGTATTTTTGGGTTACAGTACTGAAGCAAGTCATATCGAATTCTAAACTTGAAAACCAACAAGCTTATGATTCGAAGAGATGTTACATGGATGAAAGGAGCTACTGGAATTGGGAGAAGTAGAAGTCGAACCAGACTGTGTGACTGTGAAAGAAGGAAGGAGATCTCTGTCAGTATTAAACCCAACTCAGGCTGAGGAAAAAGATGATGAAGACGAAGAAGATGAAACATAAGGGAAAACAAAAATGAAAAGCTTAGCTGACATCTATGAAAGTGCAGCTTTGCTTCAAAGGAACCTTCCTCTGTTGAGGAAGAATTTAAGCAGCAAGAGTGGAAGCTCGCCGTGGAAGAGGAAATCAGGATGATCAAGAAAAATAATACCTGGTCTCTGGTAAAATCAAGTGCAGTAAAAAAGCTTATTAGAGTCAAGTGGGTGTTTAAGGTGAAACTGAATCCGGACGGGACAACAAACAGGCACAAGGCACGGCTTGTGGCAAAGGGGTACTCCCAACTTCCTTCAATTGACTACACAGAGACTTTTGCGCCTGTGGCCAGACATGAAACAATTAGACTCATGCTAGGCATGACAGCTCAATTTGGATAGAGTGTGATGCATTTGGATGTGAAGTCGGCCTTCTTGAACGGTAAGATGAATGAAGAAATCTATGTAGAGTAGCCACCAGGATTCATTCAGCCAGGAAAGGAGAAGCATGTCTATCTTCTTCACAAGGCCTTATACGGCCTCAAACAGGCTCCACAAGCCTGGTATGATAAGTTAGATACATATTTACTTCTCTGTGGGTTTGAGAGAAGCAGCACAGAGACTACACTGTACGTGAATAAAGAAGAAGACAGGTTAATTTCTGCAATATATGTTGACGATATACTGGTGACAGGCAGCAACAAAAAGAAGATGATGGAGTTCAAGCTGAAATTGGAAAAGGAATTCGAGATGTCTAATCTCGGGGAGGCTACTTACTTCCTGGGAATAGAAATTCATCAAAGTAGCTTGGGTATTTTCC